TCCATCGAGAAGGACTGTCGCCATGCGATCCGCTCTAGCAGTCACCCCCGTTACTGCTACCGTAGAAGCTTCCGCCTTAAGGGCCCCCTGACCCTCCTCCGATAGAGGTATGCGAGTCTTCCGCGTGATCATCTGTAGCTCATCACGAGCCGGCTTCGATGCCGCCAGGTACTCCAGAATAGAGCACTGCATGGGTTGCCGAAGGGCCCGCCTCAGTGGCTCTACCGTGTCAATCTCGTCTAGCAAACTCTTCATTAAGAACTTCTTGACTCCCCGCTTTCGCGGCGAAAGGATAACCTCCTCTCCATCGATCCGCTGCCCGTCCTTCTCCGCCATCATGTAATCCATGTCAGTTTTCTTTGATGTAGACCATCTCGCCGACTTGGTGGCTGCCACCCTTATGGGTGTAGTCGCCATGTCCCCCTCAAAGGTTATCTTGATGCTCTGGCTCGTGACCAGCTCCATTCCTTTACTCGTCTTTATTCTCCTTGCTTCGACATTCTCCTTCATCGAAGGGAACATCGATACATCTCCGAGATCATCTGCCCACTTGACGTACTTGCGGTCGTCAAGCACGACAAGTCCCTTTTCTATTGCCCGTTTGAGGTCCGGGCAATCCCTCTTGATATGATCTTCTCCTCTACAATAGACGCATGAGTTCCTGGGAGTAGACGCCCTGTCGTCTGCGCCTCTAGACATCGAATTCCCAGCCGCGTTGGGGTCAGGCGACTTTGGATATGKTTCTGATGAGACACCATATCCCCCTCTCTCATTCCGACTGCGCGAGTCGTTGTGCCGGTCTCCTCCAGACCCTCCTTGGTCATATCGCCCTCGCGAATCGTCCCGGCGGTCCCCTGAGTTATATCGTCCTCGTGACTCATCGCGTCGGGCCCCTCGGTTGTACCATCCCCGCAACTCGTCGCGCTGCTCGCTCGCATCTCCTCCACGCTCAACCCGTCCGCGCGACCTATCTTGTCGTTCCCAGTCCCTATCTCCTCTCTCATATCTACTTCCTCTATAACCATCTCGACCCAACCTCTCATATCTGTCGTCCCTATATCCATCCCGGTCCGATCTCTCGTATCTTCCGTCCCTCTCCCATCGGCCGCGGGAGTCGCCTCTACCCCGATCGGCCTCATAGCGAGGGCTTCAGGGGTAATCATCTAGCCTCCTTGCTCGCACAAACAGCTCGCGATCTCTGCGGTCTCGTTCTATCTCATCGTCCCTGCGTCGCCATAATTCATCGTCTCTCTCTCTCCCCCTCGTACGATAATCAATCAGTGTCCGAGGATTTCTATCCTCGACACTCCTCCAGGGATCATTGTTCCTACGGTCCCAGCGAAGCGAATAGGGCCCTCCAGGTTTGTCCCGGTAGGCCGTGACCCCTGTGGCGGTCACAATCTCCATAACCTGTCTCGTCAATCCCTTCACCATGTCTCGTATCTCCTTCACTTCCTCAGCCACGGCCTCATTCTTCTCCGACCAGGGATAGTCCTTGAAATCTGGACATCTATCAGTGACATACTCCTTGTAGAACGAGAAGTCACGTCTCCTCATCCCTCTCCACACCAAGTCCTTATAATCGTCTGCCTCTGCCTTTATCGCGAGCTTTAGGACTTCCGGGAAATCAAGCCTGTCGCGCGGAAGATCTCTCTAAGTATACTCTTTTGCCTACCTTTGGACAAGTGTCCGATGAAGATAGTACAGCGCTCGACCTCTGAGATCTT